GGCAGTGGCGGCAGCAGCAGAGGTCTACCTGGGCCAGTAAGTGCAGGGCCCTTGGCCGGAACTGGCCTGCGGGCCGTAGGTTGCCAGCCCCTAGTTTAGAATGTGTTTATACTGTTTTAAATTAATGGTGTGCTAATAGGATAGTTTGTTCAATTGATTTATTTTTTTTAAAAATAAGCTTTTAAGGTTACTTTGCTGTAACTTACACTGTAAGCTGCCCTGGCTCTCACAATTAGGAGTCAGGTGGGATAAGAACGAAAGAAAGAAAGAAAGAAAGAAAGAAAGAAAGAAAGAAAGAAAGAAAGAAAGAAAGAAAGAAAGAAACTATCCTTTTCCACTGGTTATGTTGGCTGGGGCTTTTGGAAGATGCAATCTGAAAACAACTCAAAGGCCTCACGTTTCCTTACAAAATGTACATAAATTGCATATTTACACAGCCTATTCATAGTACTTTTAATCTCTTTATTGAACTAACCAGACAAGGAAAACAGGCATGGATAATTCTTATCTGGGATTGTGACTTGTTGCACCAAAAAGAAGCTCGGATTCACACATTTTAACTTCTGGTCATCCTGGCTTCTTTGAGTACAAGGAATCCCAGGTTTGAACATAATGCTAAGTTTGCCCTTTCTATCAACTGGTTCACCCTACCGTTTCCCATCACTGATATGTTCACCTGCATGCAGAGTCCCATCACCCTATGCTCTGTATTTGGGAAGACAATTGTGTTCTATATTTGTAATTTATTCCATGAAAACCACTTTGCAATGGAAGAAATTTTCTAGAATAATCAAAAATTATACTGGAAATGTTCTGGAGGAATCTGTGTTCTGAAATACTTGGATATATATTGTATTAAATGGTATACTCACAAGCTTTTTAGAAACTTCAGGAGGAATCCGTTGTTTATTATATGAATCCATAATATAGTGAAGAAGATTCTGTTGTTCTGGGGTTAGTTCTACTTTCTCCTATACTGGCAATAATAAACAATAAGCTTCAGTAAGTGAGTATAATTTTGTACATCCTATTTTAGTTACACTGCATATCTTTGAGCGGTTTGATTTCCACATCAAAAGCAGTTCTCAAGTTATATTTACCCATAAACCTAAACAATGTTACAATGAAAATGTGTCCTTATAATTAATCTGGCATGGATGTGTTTTTCAAGGAATTTATACAGGAGACCCCAAACACTTTTCCAAAGCTAGCACCAGATACCTTATTTCAGTGATGGTGAGCCTTTTAGAGACTGAGTGCCCAAACTTAGTGGCATCTATGCACCAGGTGTCACCGGGTGCCGGGGGCAGGATTTCTAGATTTCTTCCAGAGGTGGGACATCCAGGGGGGCGGGACTGCAGCTGAAGTTAGAGGTCTGAGTGCTTTTAATTGGCTTTTATTTTAGCTCTCTGGCTAAATATCTCACCAACCTATAAATCCCAGGATCCCACAGCATTCAGCCCTAGCAGTTAAAGCGGTGCCAAACTGGATTATTCTGCAGTGTGGATGCAGCTCTAACAGCAGTGGCTGAATATCACTATTTTGTGGATTTTGGATGTTACTGTATTTTGCAATATGGCCAACAAGAGCCAGCGTGGTGTAGTAGTCTGAATGTTGGACTATGGCTGAGGAGATCAGGGTTCAATTCCCTGCTCAGGCAAGAAACCCACTGGGTGACTTTGGGCAAGTCACACTCTCTGAGCCTCAGGGGGTGTTAATGGCAACCCCCTCTGAACAAATCTTGCTAAGAAAATCCTGTAACAGTTTGTTGTGACTAGTCCTTTGGGAGATCAAGGTTCAGTTCCCCATGAAGCCACAGAAATCCACTAGGTAACCTTGGGCAAATCACACTCCCTCAGCCTCAGAAGTCAATGGCAAGACCCTCTGAACAAATCTTACCAAGAAAACCCTGTGATAGGGTCGCCATAAGTCGGAAACGTCTTGAAGGCACACAACAACAATCAAAAAATGACAATAGCAGTATATCTGCTAGTTATATTCCCCAACGCTGATACTTCCCCCTCCAATTCCTTCCTCCTCCTCTATGCCCCCTGCCGCATGCCACTTCCCCCTCCTCTTCCTTCCTCTTTCCTACTCCTTCCTTCTCTTACCTCCCTGCCGTCGCTGCTGTTCTTCCTCCCTCTGACCAGTGGCTGTCTCCGCTCTACCTCTTCCACATTCTCATCAGCCACTGGTCAAAGGGAGCCATCAATCACCTGGGAAGGAGGACCAGGTGATTGACGGCTTCCTCCAACCAGTGGCTGATGAGAATGTGGAAGAGGTGGGGCGGAGACAGCCCAGCCTAGCCATGTGCCCACAGAGACAGCTCAGCGTGCCACCTGTGGCATGCATTTGCCATCATGGCCCTATTCAGTTATATAACACAAGAATGGGGAATCTTGAAGTCACAGTAAAACCCATTCTGTTGGGAAAATAAATGCTTAGAATGTACTACATTTACTGTAGCATTAACACACAATCACAACACACACACACCTGTGATTACATCATACTTGTGTTGGATTTGGGACACAATCATGCAAATTAAGTGCAAATACTGTAATATGTTCAAAAAGTTTGAAAATAAACCATAGCAAAAGAGGTCACAGTATTGTTATATTACAATCATTGGTGATTTATATGAAGATCACATCTTTGATGTCACCAGACAAACAACATGTCTATTTATCTGCAGAAAATTGTTACAAAGTCTGGAAGTTCCTAACATGTAATTATTCTGATATAGCTTTCATTGCTTATTAGTGGCACCAAATAGTGTGTTAGATGATACCATAATTTTATTACCTTGTAGAATTTGGTTGTAGAAGACACTTGCTTCAGATCAGATCCATCATTATCTTCACCAGCTGACTGATCTAGAGGCTGTGATGTATTTTTTCTTAGCCTTTTTGACTTGCATTGTATTTCTGTTAACAAACCTAAAATATCACATAAAATCATTAACTAGAATGATGCATCTGACAAAAACACCTGTCCTAATGTATCTAGTTTTTTTCTTTCATTTGCTTCCTTTATTTTACTAACTTGGTCTTGTATGCCAGCTGCAACTCATTTGAACAGAAAGAACCTGGCCACATTTATCCCTACTATGGTAACTTCCTTTTAAGTCTATTGTAATCCACTGTATGCTTGAAGATGGTTTTGGAAATGTAGCCAATGTAGCTGTAATGCTTTTAGCTGGAAAAATTCATAGGGGAGATATTTCACCTATTTTTAAAGACTTTCACTGACTGTTAGTTCATTTCTGAGCCCAGTTCAAAGCACTGATGCTTCAGTCATAGGTATCTAAAAATGCCTAACTCCATAAATGTTAAAGTCATCTGATGATGTCAGGCTCCTTTGTCACCAAAAGTGAGGGGGGTAGTAAATAGATAGTGTTTTCAGCAGTTTTCACTTATGTGGGAGGGATCACTTGGCATCTACTCTGTTATGTGTTATGTTTATTGTTTTGCCCTTGATTATATTTGTCTGATGTTCCATCCTTAGGTAAAATATGTTTTTTGACTAATTGAGGAGGGATCTTCATTTTATTCATATCTATTCCATGTCAGTAATGCATTATCCACAGGAAATACAGCACTGGAACAGAGTTCTGCGGATACTCTGGACCACCAAAAAGAATGCAAATCAAGCTTAAACTCAAGAAAAAACAAAATGATTAAACTGATTATCATGCTTTAGATATAGAAATAAGATGGCATGATTCATTGGAAATTACAATACTGTTTGGCATATTGGAAGGCTTATGGAAAAGAGGAAAATTATATTACAGATGGATTGATTCACTAAAGGAAGCCACAGTCCTGGGTGTGCAAGACCTAAACAGGGCTGCTGACATCTGGAATTCTTGGGTTTCTTTCATTCAGCATAGGTTGAAAAGTGTGTGTGTGTTGATGTTGTTGTTGTGTGCCTTCAAGTCGTCTGCAACTTATGGCAACCGTAAGATGAACCTATCATGGGATTTTCTTGGCAAGATTTGATCAGAGGAGGTTTTGCCATTTCCTTCCCCTGAGGCTGAGAGCATGAGACTTGCCCAAGGTCACCCAGTGGGTTTCATGGCCAAGCTGGGACTTGAACCCTGGTCTCCAGAGTTGTAGTTCAATGCTCAAACCATTACACCACACTGGCTCTCAAGGCTGAAAAATACCTGATGGCAAATAACAACAAGAAATTCTCCCTGAACATGGATAGAAGACAAAAACTTGATGGATTCCGCCCACTATTGTGAAAATAGATTTCCACTAATTATTTGGGGTGAAGCAGACAGGGCAAATGGGGTGATCTGCGGCCGCTTTGGCTATGATTGCTCCAAGACCACATGACCAGACGCCACGGTCCCAAGCCAGCAGCAACCACAGTCCTGAATGGGCCACTGGCAGGAGTGGCCTTTTGCTGCTTCTTTTCAGGCCATGTTAGCCAGTCCCAAAGCAGCTTCCAGACGCTTTGGGGGCATGCATCATTTGAACACCATGCCCCCCAAACCCCTGGAAGGCACTTTATTTGGCCCATCTGCTTAAGGCCAATGACATACTCCCAACTTTTCTCCTGTCACCTGCCCCCAAACCTGTTCCAATGTTCTCCCAAACTTCCAGAGCACTTTTGGGATGGGTGGAGAAGTTGCAAGGAAGATAGCTGAACATCCAGCACTAAACCTGTTCTCATGAATGTTAGGTAAAAGGTACACATTTAGTGAAACATTCCATTTTCTCAGAACTACAGTCTGCCCTCCATGTTTGTAGCTTTAACTTTTGTGGATTTGATTATTTATGGATTTTATTAATTTGTTCTCTCTAGGAATTTGTAGGTCCTCCAACGTGACTTTCTCAGAAGTTGATCATACAGTTGCGATGGAGAACCAACAGTGATTTCCAAATTTTTGTTCCCTGGGTGTTTGGGACTTCAACTCCCAGAACCCCCATGCCAGCCTGACCAGCAGTCAGGAATTCTGGGAGCTGAAGTCCCAAATACCTCTTGATATTTCACAGTTTGGGAACCAGTGACCTAGAGATTCCTAAGGAAAATACTTCTTTAGGCATTTGTAGGTCCTCCAAAGTGATTCTGTGGTCAACTTCTGGTAGATGTTGACCACAGAGTTGACCTAGAAATTCCCAGAGATAAAAAAGTTTTTTAAAAAAAGGTTTTAAAAGGGTAAATTTTTATTTGTGGTTTTCCCACATTCACAGGGGACCTATGCCAGTAAAGGTGGAGGGCCCCCATTTCTTGAGAAATCAGATTGAACACATAAAATATGCTTACTGTATTAAGAGGTGTGATGAAGCTCTATCCACCTGATCTCCCCAACTGTAACTCTGAAGCCTAATTGTACTATCTGATATGGCCTCCCGGATATGTGAAGATGACGACCAATCTGTGCACATGATTGGGTATTGGATTTTATTATATGGATTGTGGGTTTTTTATTATTGTTATGATTTTGTATATTGTATTTTTCTATATTTCTCTGTAATCCCGCCTCAATCCGTAGGGAGAGGTAGGAAAATACAAATAAAAACTAGTAGTAGTAGTAGTAAAATTAGCCATAGACTATACTCATTAAAAATCTTGTGAGTTAAGGCAGGATTCTGTCTGCTTCTTCCATATATAATGATTCTAGGTATCATCTTTCATCACAGCTAATATATGACAAAATGTTTTTACAATAGATGTTTTTTAGCCTCATTTAAAACAACAACAACAACAACAACAATGGAATATTACATCTTTCACTATATTGTGTGAATATCATTTTTCTTAACTTCACAAGAACCCTGTCCTGGAAGAGAAGCAGGTAAATGTCAGTCCAAGGACACAACCATTATAATTTAAATTAAAGCAGTTGTTTCTTTAAAAAAATAAGGTCACCTGAGTGCCCTAGTTTTGTGACTACAGAACAGGAAAATTGTCTCTTTCAGAGACTAGATATTGTTGAGGAAGATATCAATGAAAATGCCTAATTCAGTGGTGAATGCTTTTAATATCCTGTATATTATAAAATTATGCACCATAGAAAGCAAGCTTCCTCTATCACTGAAAGAAGAGGAAATTTAAAGGATTAAAATAACAGTTCCACGTAATATCTGGAAGGAGTAAAAGTGTATTTATGAGAACGAGGCAGGAACTAAAGCTGGTGCTGATTTTCATCCTTTCATTACTGGTTATGTGTTTGTTGTGGGTTTTTAAAAAATATATATGAATAAAAGATACTGCTAAAGTATGGTGGCTTTTCCACATTACAAATAACGTATGTTCCTGTACATAATAAGTATATCTACCATGTTGCTCTGCAATAAACACTGTATAGTATGTCAAGAGAAGATGCATATGAAACATAGAGTTTGGAAAATCTACTGCTCCCCAAAGCCTCCTGCCAGAAAGTCTGGGAGCTGTAGTCCAAGAAAGTAATTTTTCTGAAGCTCTGCTGAAATAGATACCTACCATAAAAATAAACATAGCAACTTTGATTGATTGGGTTCCACTATATACCTTCCTTCATCTATTATAGTGGTTATCACAACACACATGGTGTATAAATGGGAATTTGTTTAATTTGTTTAATTGGCTTATTAAAAATTGTATGCCATCTTTCTGCAATAGGTGCCCTTGCAGACTGCTTAACAAAATGCCTTTAAAATATGAGCATAATTAAAATATAAAATGGTAGATAAATCTTATGCAACATATCTATACTTAAATACCCATATAGCAAGCCATAAAAGCAACCCAAGATAAAAGAAACAAAATCAATTTGCCGAATAGTGACTAACATGGCAGACTTTGCTTGGTGCTTTTACAGTAATAATGAAGATATTTTCTTTCTTTGGGAGGAAGTGCCATCACTGAGGCAACCCCAGTAAACTTTCTGAAGATTATCACATGGGGTAAAAAACGTTAGAGAAGAGTATTGCTGCTGTAATTTTTGCACAATCGTGGGAAAGATTTTCACATGACATCGTCCTCCTATCATTCTTGTAACATCCTGGAAGCATTAAGCAAGTGGAATAACTCATTGATGATTAAGTAAATGGCTTGGTGATCACAATTCATTCGCACTATTGGAAACGTGTGAAAGGCAATCATGTTTCAATAGCGTTATTTCTTCCTTGAAACTTCTTTGGAGAGTGCTGTGGGTCTCCCTTCCCCATTGCACTACACTCTAAAAATGGGGCTCATAAACTTTTACTGCTCTGGCTGCCTCCTGCTGCATTTGGGATTTGTATTTCAGTGAGGCTTAAGAGCTATCTGGCTAAATGTCTAAATGGCTCTTCCTGAACAACAAGTACCTGGATGCAACAGGAAGGAAATCTCCTAAACTGAATCCCCCAGTGTCACAAAGGACGTTTTCACACGGGCCTTTTTGAGGAGGCAATCCTACCTCCATCCGGCCTCACTCTGGCTCCATTTTCCGGTTGTTCAGACGCATGCGGCGGCAAACCCCGCCCCTTCCGGTGTCATCCCTGCGTCAGTCCGGCTTTTCGCTCCGTGTGTTCAAACGCACTGAACCCTAAGTCCGGCGTCACTCCGGCCAAACCAACGCTAACTCCGGCTTCAGCAGCAGAAAGGTAATTCCGGCTGTCCAACAGGAATTAGCCTTTCGGCAGCGGAGCCATTCCGGAATCGGCGGCACGACCCGTTCCGGAATGGCTCCACCCGGCTTTAGGAGGGTAGTGTGAAAACGTCCTGAGATTTATGTCCTGCATTGCGCTTGTGAGCTTGAGAGTGAGGAGTTCTCAGCGGCGAGAGAAACATCACTCTGCCACAGCAGGCAATTTTTAAAGATGAAAATGGGGATTTATAAAAATGAAGTCTGACATGTCCAAAGCTGTGAAGTCCCAGAGGATGTACTTATGATACAATTTGCTAGGACTGAAGAAACATGGGAAGGGACCCACCTGCCTCCTGTCATGCAGCAGGAACAACAAACCCAGCACGTTTAAAAAATGATTAATGATAGTAACATGTGGAATGGAAAAGCACTTTTTTACTGCCTGTGAATCGTTAATGCCCCGTTTTTGCGACCAGTGTGAAAGTAAGTGTTTTAAAATCATCATTGTATCGTTCTTGGTAAATAACGATAGAATAGTGCTATTAAACTGCAAAAAAGCCCTCGTGTCTTCCTAATCTTGGGGGATAATGCACAGACATGATCCCACAGGCTAACCCTATGGTATCCTGCCTGTGGATCTGGCCCATTCCTGTTCCCGACATTCATCTGGGCTGGCTTGGCTATGGGCAGGTTTTCAGTTGAGCGCTTGCCAACATGCTATGGAGCATATCCTCCCACCCTGAGGCCTTGCCTCAACAGAACAATACACAGATTTACATTCTAATCCTCTCAACCAAGGGTCACACAGTATATATACCCCGCACACCTCCATGTCATCATTCTCTGAAAATGCCAACCACAGATACAGGCAAAATTTCAGGAATACATTCTTCTAGATCTAGAACATGCCCTCACATCCCGAAAAACAAAAAAACAACAACATATGGATGCCAGCCATGAAAGCCTTTGACTTCACAGTGCCATAGAGCCATCATCGTCAATTCTACCTTGCCTGTTGCTACCAATGCCATTTTCTGTGAAGGCCCCTGCCACAGTCCATGAGGATGGAAATGGGGCATCTGGTTTCACACACATGGCCAGGTGTCCTCTTTGGACAACACAGGCCACAACAGGATACCACAGGGTTAGCCTGTGGGATCCTGTCTGTGCATCACAGAGAACAGATAAGAGGGTTATCATGGTGGAGTTTCTGGAAAACTCTGCTGCAAGCAGCTGGCCTTTGTAGCTCGAGCTAAGGGCTAGTTGGGGCAGGGTAGGGCCAGATCAGCTGGAATGGCATCTGGTCTTTGTGTCCCTGGCCCAGGGCTGTTGGCCTGTGTTGTCTAAACTGTAGAATATCAGGCCAGAGGGAACACGGACCTTTGGGCCCATGCATACAACTCCAGTGTCAGCTGAGGACATCAAAAGAAAGAAAAGAGCTGTGCAGGATCAAACTAATAAAGGTCTGTCTATCTGAGCATTCTGTTCCCCAAGTGAATACTGTAGTTGAAATCCTGATGGGAAATCAACAGCTAAAACACGCACACAATACCACATCTTATTTATGTACCATTTCCACTGGTAG